AAACACAATGAGTAACTGTATGTTGCTACCAACAGTAACAAAACCTACAAGAGTTACAGAGACTAGTGTTTCCCTACTTGACCACATCTGGACCAACACCATATCCCCTTTAAAATCAGGCATAATTACAGATAATACCACAGACCACTACCCAACTTTCCTCATAACAACTCTTGGTAAATTACCCCAAGACACTACTAAAGTCACCTTCAGACTTCACAATGAGGCAGCCATTAATAACTTCACAACAGCAGTAGCAAACATTGACTGGCACACTGAGCTAGAAATCAATACAGATATGACGAATGTATTAATAATTTTCTAAAAAAGACCCAATACCTCTATAACAAGCACTGCCCTAAAAAAACTAAGCAGATGACAGCTAAGAGACTGAACAGTCCCTGGCTAACACCCAGCATTCTCAAATCCATAAATACAAAACACCAATATGAAAAACAGTACAGAATGGGTCACATAACCAGAGACCAAACAAAACGTTACTCGTCAATCCTAACCAGCCTGATAAGAAGGGCAAAAAAATTGTATTATGAGAACAGATTATCCAACTTACGAGGTGATATAAAAAAGACCTGGAAAACCCTATCAGAAATTCTGGGAACAAAAAAGATATCACGAAATAGCGAAATAAACTTAGCAAAATCAGATGAACCCCAACTCCCACCAACAGAAACAGCAAACAGACTCAATGATTTCTTCTCCACTATAGGACAAAACCTTGCCAATAAAATCCCAAGCTCAGATACCCCACCAAATGACTACCTCACCGGCAACTACCCGAACACACTGTTCCTAGCTCCGACTAACCCATACGAAGTCTCCCTTATTATCAACGCACTAAAAAACAAGGCAGGAGATTTAAATACCTTACCACCCTTTATATACAAAAAAGTGTCACAAGTGCTATCACCAATCATTGCAACACTCTTTAACAAATCCATTGAATCCTCCACCTTCCCTACAGTACTCAAAATAGCAATGGTCACCCCGATCCACAAAGGAGGAGACCAAACAGAGTTGAATAACTATAGGCCAATATCCAACTTACACCCTCTCTCAAAAATCTTCGAAAAATTAATTCATAAACGAATCTACTCCTACCTTATCTCCCAAAACATACTCAACCCCTGCCAATTTGGATTCAGGCCTAATAAAAATACTAATGATGCTATTATACACATGCTAGAACATATATACACTGCAATAGAGAAAAAGAAGTCCCACTGGGGATCTTCATTGACTTACGTAAAGCTTTTGATACAGTTGACCATGATTGCTCCATAAAATTGTCCACTAGGGTATAAGGGGCACTCCCTCAACTACCTCAAGTCATACCTCAGCAAAAAAAAACCCAATATGTTACGCAAATGGGGCAAAACTCTTCTGCAACCTTTTACAGGGGGTGCCCCCACAGGGAAGTGCCCTTGGGGCCCTCTTCTCTTTCTCCTAACATAAATGACCTCCCAAATCTTCGCAATTACTCAAACCCACACTTTTGCTGATGAACAACATACGTTTCTCCCCCCGACCCAGTCCGCTAGCCAAACTGTAAATACCAATTACGAAAATATCTACCTGGATGAGTACTAACAAACTTAACAAACATTAAAAAAACCTACTTTTTCATTTGAAAACGAGCTACGATGTCCCTCTTAACAAATGAAAACGGATCACCTATACAAAGCTAACAGAGGGAAAATCTTAGAATCCACCTTGATAATAGACTAAAATTTCATACCTTACAAAAAATTTTCAAAGAAAATTTCCCAGACGTGGGCATACTATCGAAGATAGGGTACTATGCCCCACAGTCAGCCCCCGGCCCCCATATCCCCTTCTTATTTACCCCATCTCACCTATGGAATTTGTGCATGGGGCTCAAAAACAAGTAACATTAGACCACAATTACCCAACAAAAGGCTGCAGTTAGAATGACAAAAAATTTCTCATACAGGCAGCCACCCACCATATTCAATACATCAACCTATCACCATACAAAAAATCCATTTATTACTGCCCCTTTAAAACTAGAACATTAATCTGATATTAAACCCTCCCCTCAAACATTTCCTTCCCAACCTCAACAAAAACACATGACCATAAACAAGGCCAGATCCCCTTTTTGATATTCCCCTGTCCATCTCACGCTATGCAAAAAAACCCTGCACATAAAAGGCCCTAAAATCGGAATTCTTACCCGTAAATAAAAAAGAAAACACCTTTTATAAATTCAAGTCTTTCCAAAAATCCTTACTCCCCAAAAAACCCAAAAAAATACTGAATAATGAAAATTATAAATTGTATACTTAAATGTTTCTCCAATTAATCACTAAATGTTAAACCCAAAACCCAATCTAACTTTATTATTTTTTTAATTCACTACCTAACAGAATACTCCATTCTACTGAATTTACAACAATGCATGCAACCATATGACCTGTCTTTGTAATACTCACTTGTGCTTTATAGTAATCTGTTTACATTAATGTTTTTCACTGATTTCATCATTGCTTAGTTAATCTTAAGTTAATTTTAAGCCAGCCCGTAATGCTATGCATAGTATAAGTGGCTTTGGCATGCTGCTCTTATCTGTATTTTTTTGTACCTCTGTATGTGTGCTCAAATTATAAATAAATAAAATAAATAAATAAATAAATGGGTCTATGTGGTCAGTGTGTACAGTATAAAAAAAATCCTGCAGCACACAGTGCATAATGAGAAAAAAAAAACTTTGACCATGTTTGTGGACTAAAACAGCAACTTTGCACTGTATTTTCGTATGGTATTTATTGTTGTATTCTAGTTTTCCTGGTCTCATTTTATAGAATGGAAGACATATTACAGAAATTGAGATGATTTTGACTGGTTTTACAATGAAAAGTGCTTTGAAATTGAGCTCAAATTAGCAGAAATGTTCAATTTTTACCAAAGTTCAGAAGTAAACAAATCATGCTAAGCGTCCAATACACGTCAACTGGTGAGTCTAATATTCTTTCACAAGTGTGCCAATATTATTTATACCATTTCTACACTAATGCAGTAGTCTGCATAACAGTAAATCTTCTATTTTTTTGTGAGAATAAAAATTCGAAGTGGAAAGCAAAAAAATGTAAGAGGGGCGTGGGGACGGACTAATGAACAGAGTAAATGTTATTTTAGTGCCAGGAATGTCTTTCTTGTTTATTCTGGACCCTATTTGGAAATTGGTATCTTTTGAAATTTGTGTGAAATTGGCAAAATTGCTAAATTCTGACCCGTGTATTGGATAGTTGAAATCGGTAAATGGGTGGTTTCTTGTACTCATTCGATAGAAAAAATGGAGTTCTAGTGAAATAGTTATGATTTTTGTCGACTAGTACACTGGAACTGGCCAAAAATAGTGCTCAAAATGGGCAAAATCGCCAATGTGTAAATATCATTGAGACCGCTAACTTCGCAAGAGCATAATTCTGTAAGTTTTCCATTAAATTTCATACTTTTGGTGTCATTATGATCGGGAAAAGATTCTCTATCTTTTCTTAAGAAAAAATAATTTTTTTTTTTTTTTTTTTTTTAAATTTGGGCGACCCTGAGAACAAGTCTGGGAGAGGGCCTGGGGACCCTAAAAGTGTTAAGTCTCTTCAATTGTTCTTCGTATGGAAGATTTCTAATGCTATGTATTAATTTGATCATTCTACGCTGGATGTTTTCTAGCTAATTTATGTCGATTCTGTAATACAGAGACCAGAACTGAGCTGTATAATCTAGGTGAGGCCTTACTAATGATGTATAAAGCTGTAATATAACCTCTGAACTTCTGTTGCTTACACTTCTTGATATAGATCCCAGTAATCTGTTTGCCTTATTACGTACACTTAGGCATTGCTGTCTTGGTTTAAGATTACCGTTTATCATGACCCCAAGTCCATTTCGCAATCTGTATGGCTAAGTTCTACATTATTTAACCTACAAGTGCTAGGGTTATGGACACTCCCGAGCTTCAGAACCTTGCATTTATCTACACTGAACTGCATCTGCCACTTTTCTGACCAGGAATTGAGTTTGTCTAAATCCTCCTGAAGTTCCCTGATATCTACATTTGAATCAATTATCCTACCTATCTTTGTGTCATCGGCGAATTTGCTCATTTCACTAGTAATTCCTTCATCAAGATCATTGATATATATTATAAACAACAATGGGCCTAAGACTGATCCCTGTGGAACGCCACTTGTTACAGATCCCCACTCGAATTTAACCCCATTTAAGCATGACTCGATCCATGAGAACACTTTTTTCCCAATGCCATGAGCTGCCACTTTCTTTAACAGTCTCTGGTGTGGTACTCTACATACAACTTCTTCTCATAACATTCAGCCATTTCTTTCTTATCATCTGCACTACATTGACACACATTCAAACATCCCAACTTTATAAAGTTTTTCTTCATTATATATTTAGTGATTAATACAGGAGAAGGGGTTACTAACCCCTTGCTCCTGGCATTTTAGTCACCTCTTAAGACGTGCATGGCTTATGGAGGAAGAATTCTTCTCCATTTCCTTATGGAATGAAAGGAAAAAAATAAGAACAAGAACTATTAAGAAAAATAAAATAAAACTTTATATTGATGTGTATACATGTACATGCATGTACAGAAGCAGCAAGACATACCTGTTATTATACATGTTTATGAGACTAAGAAAATACACCAGCAATCCTCTCATTGTGCAAAACAATTACAGGTTTTCATTTCACACTCATTTGGCAGGATGGTACTACCTCTCTGAGAAGTTGCTGTCTTAACCTAGTTATAAGCAGGTATATTACATGAATGTTTATGCAAATTTAGTGTTTACATGTCTTCTTCAACTTGTCAGTATTATGCACTTGAAACAAGTGAGGCAAAGCAGTTGGAGGCAGCATCACTTATAGACAAAATCCACTTGTGGAAGTAGGTCATACCTATGAATGACCTACTTCCACAAGTATCTGGTACTCACCTCTGCTTGTTCTTGGCAATTTATATGTACTACTTTGGAGTTGTCACCACCACCAAACATTCCCAGAACCCGTTTCTTTTCCTGCTTTACTGAAAGGTGTAAACCTTTTGGAGTAAGAACAGGAGGCTCTGAGAGTTCATCATAGGTATGTACCCAATCAACCTGCAAATAAAAAATAATAAAAAATCAATATTAGATAAGAAAAATAAGGTTATCTAAATTTAAATATGAATTAAAAGTTAAGACTCCTCAAAGGTGGTTTTAGTATTAACCTGTAAACTGCCAGCCACAACAGTACCACCAAGGGTTGTATGTTCACCTGGAGAGGGTTTTGGGGGTCAATGCCCCTGTAGCCCAGTCTGAAACCAGGCCTTATGGTGGATCAGGGTCTGATCAACCAGGCTGTTACTGCTGGCTGCATGCAAGCTGATGTACGAACCACAGCCCGGTTGGTCAGGTACTGACTTTAGGTGCCTGTCCAGTGCCTTCTTGAATACAGCCAGGGGTCTATTGGTAATCCCCCTTATGTATGCTGCGAGGCAACTGAACAGTCTTGGGCCCCGGACACTTATTGTGTTGTCTCTCAGCGTAGTCGTGGCGCCCCTGCTTTTCATCGAGGGAATGTTGCATCTCCTGCTGAGTCTTTTGCTTTCATAGGGAGTAATTTTCGTGTGCAGGTTTGGTACCAATCCCTCCAGGACCTTCCAAGTGTATATTATTATGTATCTCTCTCGCCTGTGTTTGAGGGAATACAGATCAAAGTCCTTCAACTGTTCCCAGTAATTTAGGTGCCTTATCATACTTGTGTGTGCTGTGAAAGTTCTTTGTACACTCTCCAGGTCTGCAATGTAAACCAAGCCTTAAAGGGGGGGCCCTTATTTACAGCAGTATTCCACCTAGAGAGCAAAAGGGCAATTTGAAGAGAATCGTAAATGGGTTTGGGCCCGTCCCAATTTTTTCGAAGGTTCTCATTATCCTCCAAAATCATTTTCCTAGCGGGGGAAGGTAGATACATTTTTTGTGGTTTTTCAAAGGGAGACCCTTTCTGACATTATCGGGTGACAAATCTTGGGCTTTTATTCAAGTCCTTCAAATGTTTTTAGGCCCTAAAGATAAGGGGAATGGATTTTAAAGTGAGCATGCCTTTTTATACAAAAAAAATCTTCCCCGACCCAACATGGGGGAAGGGGGCTTTTCCCCTTTCACCCTTTTTTAAACTATGAAGTGCAGACAGGGAAACCTTCACTTTCCCACCACAATTACCCCAATTTTTTAATACCTAAGGGCACAAACTGTGAGGATAGTGTTTCCCGATATAGCAGAATGGGTTTGAGAAAAGGTAAAAATTTGAACTGTTATGCTCATAATGCCATTAAAAATGCAGCCAACCAATGACTGACTTTAAATGTTTTTTTAGCTAGAGCAAACCACACCAGGGCTTTTTTTTTTTTTTATTTTTTTCCCTGAGCTGGGAGATTTTCCCCATGCCAGTTTACTGATGTGCTCACTTTTCATGCAAAACTTGCCCCTTCAGTCTCAAAATTTTTTCCCGGATTTTTAAAATGTTTGGTGTGACTTTATTAACAAATAAATAAAGTGCAATTAACAATGATTTCTTAAGCAAGTGGTGCCAAGAGGAAAGGTGTGGTTCTCAGTGTTAAGCAGGAACTTGAAGTACTAAAGGTTGAGCCTAGCATTTCAGTGGCATGGGTATGAGAAAAATATGGTGTTGAGGAAAACAATATCTGATAACAGTAAAAGCATGGACAAACTGCACACTGTGTTCTTGGATGTTAAAAGAACTTTACAGCTCCTAATCAGGATAAACTTTTATTCTGAGTTACAACTATACATCAGGGCCCAGTTTACACCTCAACTTTCCACCAAAAAAAACAGCAAGTAAAATTACTATACAGCACAGTACTGTATTGTAGTACTACAGGTTATAATACATGTACTCTTTAGTGTTCAACTGTCTGCTGCATCAGTGGACCAAGTATGTTAGTTCAGAAAAACTAGCAGATGATCCTGAAAAATTAATTCACAATTATCATACATCCCCTCTCCCTTATTAGTCCATTAATGAGGGGTTTCACTAATAGTGAATGAATCACTAGCAATGAACATGAAATGCTATATTCTCCAGACTTATTCTAAACATATGAAATTTTATGAATGAAAAATTACCTGTTGAGAAGGTATCATAATGTAATTACAAAGTGGGAATGATTATAAAAAAAATGAGTTGACTGTGTCCTGAGAAGACGGATTGACCCTTCGAGTGTCCGTCCTGTAGTTCTACAGATTTGAAGCCACAGTCCAAAAACCCTAGTACTACATCACGAGCTCGGCTCACTAAGATAAGCTGTGAGTGGTAAATTTGGGCCTAGATATGAGAGAATTTCATCTATGTGGTAAGTGTGCACCATATAAAACAAATCTTGCAGCATGCAGTGCATAAAGAGAAAAAAAAAAATGCAAACGTGTTTTTTTGGATTAAAAAAAGTACTTTGCTGTGTATTTTTGTATGGGTTTTATGTTTGTGTTTGCAGTTTCTTGGCCTTATTTGATAGAATGGAAGACATATTACAGAAATAGAGATGATTTTGATTGGTTTTAGGAATAAAAAATAGCTTGAAATTGAGCTCAAAGTAGCAAAAATGTTTGATCTTTGCCAATGTTCAAGAGTAAACAGATCATATCATGCATCCAATATATGTCAGCTGGTGGGTCTAATGTGCATTCACAAATGCACTGATATTATTTATACAATTATTAATATATTGCATAACAGTAAATCTTCTATTTTATATGTGAATAAAAATCAAAATGGGATTCATGTGTAAAGCCTGGAAACATAACTAATAAACAGAGGAAATGTTATTTTAGTGCTAGAAATGCCTGCAGTGTTCATTCTGAACCCTATTTTGAAACTGGAATATATTAAACTTTGTGTGGGATAACTGAAATAATTGACTGGGCAATTTCTTTTACTTAATAGATAAAATGAAACACATACAGTGGACCCTTGACCAACGATAGCATCGATTAATGATAAATGTGACTAGCAATACATTTTAACGCAAAAATTTTGCCTCGACTAGCGCTTAAAAACCCGACCAGGGCTATTCATTCCGTACCATACGCGTCCACTTTGGCCTGAGCGCGCCTCTCTTGTCCCCTTTTGGGGCCAGTGTTTACAAGCCAGCCAGCCACCACGGTGTTTTCCAAACATCAACTGGAACATTTCATATTATCACACCCTTTTTAGTGATTGCCCCTGCAAAATAAGTCATAGGGGCCCCAAAAAGCTTCTGTCCCCAACCCTACAGAAAAAAAGGGTGAGAATTACTATGGGATGAAGAAAAGATCTTTGAAAAATATTTAAGTGGAGTGCGTTTTCCTGAGTGGTCAGGGTTGTATAATAAACCCCAATAAAACCATCCTACTTTGGGGGCAAGAAACGGCAACCCAAGGAAGCTGTTCTTCCCAAAGGTGCAACTATGTTTTCGAAACTGAGATCGCAAGTGATAGAAGATGTTGAGAGACTTTTATTGGTGTGGATAAACGAGAAACAGAAGCGGGGAGACACCTTCTAAAGCGATCATATGTGAAAAGGGGCTGGGAAAGTTGCAGGGGAAAAATTTAATTGAGAAATACCAGAGCTGTGAGCAGGGAAATTTTAAAGGCCACAAAGGGGGGTTTGGGGAATTTAAGAAGCGTAGTGGCATTAATAGTGTGATAAGGCAGGGTGGGGCTGCCATTGGGCCCCCCCCCCCAAATCGGCTGAAAAATATTGCAGGACTTCAAGGAGAAATAGACAGTAAAGGACTGAAAACCTGAAAAAGTGTTTAATTGTGACGAAACAGGCCTTTTTTGGAAAAAAAATGCCAAGAGGACGTACTTACTCAGGAGGAAAAGGCACTCCCGGAATAAGCCCTATAAAAAGACAGGCTTATCTGTGATGTGTGCCAATGAGTGGGATTGCAAAGTGAGGCCTTTATTAGTGATCACTCTGAAACTCCAGAGTGTTCGGGAAAAAAAAACAATGTCCTCAAGGGCAAATTTTGTGTGTGCTGTGGAGGCAAACGTAGGCCCATGGGTCACTAGGATTTTTCTATGATGGTTACATCATGCTTTTGCCCCCAATGTGAAAAATTACCTAATTGACAAGAAATTAGACCTTAAGTGCCCCTGGTTTTAAACAATGCTCCTGGTCATCCTTCAGATTGGCGAGCGATTTTTGGGGACGAGCTTCATTAAGGTGAAGTTTTTGCCCCCTAATCCCATCCTTCCTCAGCCCAGGGCCAGCAGGTTATTTTAATTTCAAGAAACTGTACACAAAAGCATTTTTGAAAGGTGCTTTGTAGGACCTCAGAAACCAACTGCTCAAAAGGGGTTTTTGGAAAGATCATTTTCCATCCTAAAATTGTGTAAACATTTTAGGAAAGGGCTTGGGGGGAAGTGACTAAGGGGACATTAAAACTTGTTGGAAAAAACTGTGGCCAAAGGTGTAACAAAAGGGATTTTGAAGGGTTTGAGGCTAACCCTGGAATCCCATTCCCGTTGAGGAATCCCTTGTGCATTGGGGAAGTCCCTTGGGGGTTTGGGGTTAGTGGGGGGATGTGGAAGAGTTGGTGGGGGAGGACAATGAAGAAATAACCCCTGTGACTGCTAGTCATCTTCAACAGCAAAAGGGGACACCTGAGGAAACTGTTCAGAGGAGGGGAGGAGAAATTGAAAAGTTGCCTACTTCTAAGATAAAGGAAATGTGTTTCAAAGTGGCTTGAAGTGCAAACCTTTTTGATGAAAATCACCCTGACACAGCTACTGCAACCATGTGGTGCTATTCACTGCACTGTTTTGAAATACTTTAGGAAATCATAAAGGAATGAGAGGTACAGCCTCTATGGACAGATATGTTGGCGACAGAAGTCCCGTGACTCTGAAGCTGGTCCTAGGGCATTAAAAGAACAAGGGAAGTAACCCCCGAAAAAAACTTGCTGTCAATGCTAATGGGAAGGGGGTTCCCCTTTTAAACACTACACCCCTCCCCCCCCCCCCCCCCTCCATCAATCATCACCAGATCTTCAATAAAGGTAGTTATGTAACTGTGCATGTAATTTCAGTTTTTTTGTATTAAAAATTTTAATATTTTTGTG